TATTTCAGTCAATTGGCCACAAGTATTAATGAAGCCAATAGCTAAAATGGGTCCAAATGTCTCCTCCAAATGTTGGAAATGTAAATTGGCAAAAGGGACATACTATCATATGTGGTGGGAGTGCCCAAGAGCCCGTGACGTTTGGAATAAGATTAAAAAATGGCTGGAAGAAATATTAAAGTTAGTGGTAGAGTTAAAACCAGAACTCTTTTTACAAGGCATAACCATGCAGAAATACAACAAAGGAGTGTTTTATTTGATGTTACACATTCTCACGGCTGCTAGATTGGTGTATGCTCAAAACTGGAGGAATAAAGAATTCCAACAGAAGAGATTATATATAAAATTTTATCGTGTGCTGAAATGGATAGGCTCACAATGGAAATGAAGGATAAGACAGAATCAGACTATTTCGAGATCTGGGACAAATTTTATCACTGGTGTGAATCAAGGAGAACTGCTCGGGTTTTAAATTAGCGTTAAGATAGAATTACAGTATATATAACTGTATATATAACTGTATTGTATAGAAGAATATGTTTATATAGAGATCAAGAACTATGTATTAATTGCATGTATCAAGAGGAACAAATTGTTAGGAATATTTATTTTGGAATGTCACGTTATGTCCATCTGTTTTTAACTGTACTATAAATAAAAAACTTTATATATATATATATATAAAAGTATTAATGAAGCCAAGTCTGATTCCAAGTAAGTTTCATTGTTTTTTCCAAGCTAAACTCTCTACTCTAGAGATTATCTTTCAAGGCAACATCCAGTTGCTCACAATCCACTTCCTAAGAGGTACATGCAACATACTGATTATTGCTAGAACCAAATGTTGCATTATTTCATCTGAAAACTGCTGGTCAATAAACAATAAAACATACTTCAGATGAAATAGCTTTTAAAAACGCATGATATGCATGTTTGCTGTTTTATGTTATCATGGTTATTGATCTATGGCAGCAATAAAATAATAATAGTCTTACTTTTTAAATAATAGAGCAGATTCAGAGAAGAACCAAAGTCAAAACATTAACAGTATGGGATGTTCTTATGTGACACACTGGCCCTGTGGAGCTATTCCACCTTTTGTTTTCTTAATGGAATTTTTTTTAGGAATATCAGAAATCAAAGCACTAGAGAAGCAAATTCATATTAGATAGTTAAGTTAGCAATATCTGAACCCTAAGTACACTTAGTAAATAGGAATAATAAAAAAGTAAAATAGAGGCACATTAAATTGCTGGTCACCAGCAGACAAAAACAAGATGGAAACCAGATATCAATTTAAAACAGAATTGTAACCAAAGTTTAAATGTATGTATGGTCAGAGATGCAAATACACTTCAAACATTAGAAAGCATAAATGCAGGGAAATGGTGAAATGTGATTTCTGGCTAAAGATGGCCTCTCTCTTGTGTTTTAAGCTTCCTCATACAAGAAGGTTTTAACCTTTGAATCTTTAGTTGGGAAATCATAATGCATAACCATGCAGAGTAGTTCTCAAGGTGAGCATAGATTCTGAATGCATAGCAGGTGGTTAACAATATTCAACTACACAAGGAAGAAAAGCAATGTACACTTTGGGTTGCAGTCAGAACTATGAAGATTACACTTCGGACATTGCTGGGTCATTTATGACATCAGTTGTGAAACTGGGTTTAAATGGTCAAATATTACTTCTTTCATAACTGGACTCGCACATTGTGTAAGTCATGAGTGATTTGATATTGGCTTAGAATGTTATGTGACTCCGTTGCTTGTCTTGGAAAACTATGGTGTAGCATTATGAGTGAACTCGGGTAATAGGTGGAAAAAAACCCAGTCTTGCCTGATGCCTGAATCCATTCTTTGCATTGAATAAGATCTCTTAAGTTCAACGTTACTCCTATTTACATGATACAACATGATGTAGCTAGCCAGGAATAGGTTTAGGGCCAGCATCTGCTTATTTGCTAGACTGGTTGTTTTGGATCTTCTTTTGTTTTAAGAACGGAGGAGTTATAATAGCTAGATACTTATGGAGGAGAAATACAGTACATCTATTACAGAACTTGGAATACTGTAAAGGATAACACTTTCTTTCATCTTCTTACCCTTCCCATGACCAATGACGTTTTGTTTTTAATAATGTACCAACGTTTGCATAAAGGCTCAAACTAAGAGCTGAAAATTTCAATTGAGATGAGACTGGGAAAAAAAACCTCTCCAACAAGATATGATGAAAGAGCCAGTTATATTTATTCAGGATATCGATGTGGATGTCCAAGAAGTCAAGATGGTGGACACAACTATGTGACTGGAGCCTCATCATTTTAATGTTTGTTGTGACCCTCTAAGTTGTAGCTGCCATCTTGACCCCTGTGCCAACACCCCTGCACTTAGTAGATCATTTAGATCAGGCGTAGGCAACCTTGGCTCTTTTATGACTCGTGGACTTCAACTCCCAGAATTCCTGAGCCAGCATGGCTGGCTCAGGAATTCTGGGAGTTGAAGTCCACGAGTCATAAAAGAGCCAAGGTTGCCTACCCCTGATCTAGAGTCACCACCCTCCCTCCATTCACATAGGGGCTATTCCCCACTCGCAAACAATAAAACTAAAGATTCCACTGAGTCAACCTCAGTTCTCCCCACTGCCTCATCCTGGAATTGTGGCTTGCCATCTGGGTGCAAACTAGACCTCCTTAGTTTGTTTTAAGACTGCACGTGTCAACTCCCTGTATAAAACCTATGTTAATTTTAATCTGTTCATGAAGTTCAAATCCCTCTTTATTCACAGCCAAAGCCTACTGCTCATGAACATAAATTGCTCAGCCTCCAAGTTATGTCTTCTTCTCAGCGCCCCCAAATGTGCATCAGAACCCTCTTGCCCACCGGTCTTGACCCACAGGGCGGGGGCTTGTTCCTCTTTCTTTATCTGTTACATTTGGAACATTGCTATAACGTGCTGCAGAACCTGCACATCTGCTTCTTGGTATCAAAGGACACCCAGCGTTTGGAAGCAATAGGATGGTTGGGAATGTCATTAGTTTCAGCAAATGGGTGCTGAGTTGAGCGCTAATGTGATAATTTATTAGGTTTTTATCCCCCCTTTATTATTTTATAAATAACTCAACGCAATGAACATACCTAATACTCCTCCCACCTCCTTTTTTTCTCCACAATACTATGAAATGTATTGTGTTGAGAGTTACTGATTGGCCCAAAGTCTCCCAGTCGGCTTTCAAGCCTAAGATGGGACCAGAACTCACAAGTCTCCTGGTTTTTAGACCAGCACCTTAGCCACCACACCAAACTGGCTTTTACCCACAGGGACCTAAAAGGAACTGCATTTCAGTACAATAAACCATTCAAAATAGGCTTGTAGCATCATATACGGCTCCTTTTTCTCAAGGATAATTTAAGGCTACAGGTGCCCATGTGAGTTCTAGACATCAAAGACCCTTTGAACAGGTATTTTTTTCTGGACAGAGATTTTCTGCGTCCAGACCCTAAACGTCCTCATTTCTCCAGTATTGTCAAGGAATTTCTCTGTGTGCTTGCTGAGAAAGCAAATCTTCCTCCTGAACACATCCCCATGGCAGCTTAGACCCCATTCCAAACTTTGGTCCGCTGGAAGTGGAACACCCAAGAACTTGCCTTATGCTGACTCAGGAATTCTGGGAGTTGAAGTCCATGAGTCATAAAAGAGCCGAGGTTGCCTACCCCTGGCTTAGGACAAAGTTATTCATTTTCAGGGAACCATCAAATTCAAGAATTCCACCTGCTGGAAAGAAGGAAAAGAAGACAAGGACCGCCATGAATACAGTTCAAAGGGGTTAAGAGCCCCCACAGGCTGAGCAGCATATTTATTTCTTCATCTTCCCAAAAATCAGTAGTGCAGCAATGTAAACAGGAAACAGGAGAACTTGAAAAACGATTCTTCACCAGATACAAGCCTGGCCAACATCGGTATCCTCAAGGCCACATTTCCTTTTATAACATTCTGGGGCCTACATAACATTATCAACTATTTCTCCCTTATTTCCAAAGACTTTATTAAGAGTATAGTAAACCATTCACCTTGAGTCTACTAACCTCTAGAGCAGGGGTCCCCAACCCCTGGTCCATGGACCATCACCGGTCCGCGGCATGCCACCAAGCGGGCCGCACAAACAAGCAATGCTCCATCCTCAGGATGCGGGCAGTATTCAAAACCACACCCCTTCTGGTCCAAGGGAAAAACCTTTCTCCATGCCACCGGTCCCTGGTGTCCAAAAGGTTGGGGACCTCTGCTCTAGAGGAACACATAATTTTTCAGGAGGTATATGGCGCTTGGGCCACCAACTGGCCATCCTAAACCTAAAAAAAAAATCTGAACTTCTACAGTTTAAAAATTAGGGTCCCTCTCATCACAGTGTAAGTCCTTAGAATGGTTTGCCCTTTGCAATTCATCAGTGACAGCACTAAGAAGAGGGAATGAGAGGGGGAGGGAGGGAAAGGAAGGGATAATCAATTAGGGTTTTTTTTTTTCTTTAGAGGGAAAAAAAAAGGATGTTTGCCAAGTGTGAAACAGAGAGCATGGAAACGAATAAAGCACGTAATAATAAGAGGGGGGAAAAGGAAGATGAGCGAGAGTAAATCACATACCCCTAATGAAACTACGAAGCATTTTCCATCATTCTTAGGGACGAAAAGGGAGCTGGTTCATATTGCCTAGTAACTTGTGATTTCCACCAAATGGGATGTTCGGTGGAGATGCCTGTATTTGCTCTAGGTTTTTAAAAAAAAAAAAAAGGGAGGGGGGTTTATAGATCTGACATGGGATAACCAACATTTCTGTTGGAAAGCACACAATGTGCATGGAATTAACAATAGATAAAGAGGTGCTACAATAGGAGAGGAAGAGACTCTGATCTACTGGGCAGTATTTGAACCAGTTTGCCTGTCTTTTGATCCTCTCTCTCCTCATTTTCAACTTGTGCAAAAGTGTTTTTTTGTTTTTTTTTCAAGACAACACATCAGTGTTTTTCACAGGCAAAGGAGCCTGTTGTTTTACAGTGTGACTGACTATCAGTGAGAAAAAACTTTCAGGCTGGACGCAGAGCGTGGAGGAAAAGAGCCAGAGCCACCAATGATCTGGAGGCTCCATCTCAATGCTCACCACTGGCAAAAACTTAAAAGGGGAAATAACCCTTGACCGTCATAGCCAACATGCAGTTTCTTTGCTTGCCGTGGAAACGTGGCTTCTTCCATTTCTGGAAAACGAAGCTCATCAAGGATGGTGAATCAGGAAGGTTTTCCTAGGAGTGAATTAGGACAAAAAACAAACAAACCATAGTTTGAGGCATCTCAGCTTTCAAGACCAACTACAAAGTGTGTTCTCACAAACAACGCAGGAGTGTGTGTGAAGAGGGTTGCCAACTCTGTGGCAAACAGATGTTGGCAAGAAGTGCCTGGGATCGGTACGGCAGCCCTACGCAAATCGACGCCTTTTCACAGGAGTGGCCGGGAAGTTCTGCATTGTTTTTCAGAACCGCACCTGCCCTTTGTAGTCTTTGTTTCACAGCTTCTTCTTCTTTTTTTCTTTCCTTTTTTTGCCAAAATTAAATTTCCCTTTTGAGTCCAGTTTCAAGGACTGGCAGTTGGACTCCCCGTTTTCTTAAGAGATTATTGGTAAAGAGAGAAGGGCTCTCCAACAGGGGTACTCCCAAGATACCTCGTGCAACCGAGGGCGGAGAGAGAGAGAGAGAGAGCGGTCTTCTGAACCCCTTGCCAACTCTTTGCCACGCAGGCCGGTCGCTATAGAATCTCTTCCCGCTGTTTTTTGGGCTTCAGGATCACCTGCCCGTTTCTCAGAAACCCGTTCTGGCCGTGGAGCAGCTTTCCTTTCTCCCGGTCAGGCCAAGTGAAGATGGCTTCGTCGCTGTCCAGTTCAGACTCGGAATGCATCAGACTGGTGTTCTGGGCCTGGGGCTTCTGCTTGCTGCCTTTGAAAAGGAACCAAGAAACATCAGGAAACGAAAGGCTGCCTATACCAGGGCTTTTCAACCAGTGGGACGGGTACCAGCTGTGGCACATTGGCACCTGGCAGGTGGTACGCGGCCATCCTAGAAAAGTAGTAGCGGGGGAGGGGAATGAGCTGAACCGGTGGCAGCACCGCACAAGCCTGAGCGAGGGACGGCTGGAGCTGCAGGGCGTTCAGGGCTCGGCGGAAGCGCCAGGATCAGTGCTGCTTTCCAGCTGACTGGCGCTTCTTTGGGGCTGTCAGGGCTCAGCAGAAGTGCCAGGATCAGCTCCAGGCTCCAGCTGGAGCTCGGCGCTGATCCTGGTGCTTCTGCTGAGCCCTGAAGAAGCGCCAATCAGCTGGAATGTTGCAGCATCTCCAGGGTCTTGTAATTTACATTCAGATGCTTGGCAACTGATTCATATTTATGACGGTCACAGTGTCCCAGGGTCATGTGAAGTGACCAAAACCTGCTGCAACCACCCAGCAGACAGGGGGAATAAAGACCAAACATCCCCCCCACCCCACCCCTGCTGCCAATCCCCAACAGAAATGCTCACAACAATGAAAACTTCGGACAGAAGGAAGAGCGCCGCCAGGTGGGCAGGCAGGTGTCTTGCTCGGCTGTTTCCTTGGTGGGGCACTTTTTTCAGTGCCATTGTAACTTTGAACAGTCACTAAGCAAACTGTTGTAAGTCGAGGACTACCTGCACTTTTATCACTTTTTTCCTTTTTTTTTTTTTGGGTCATCACGTTTTTGACACCTTGCTAGGCGATGGGTGGTACTCAGATATTGCCATATCCTAAAAGTGGTACAATGGGTGAAAAGGTTGAAAAGTCCTGGCCTATGGAGCGATCTTCGTCCTCCTAGATCAGCCCATCCGACCCGGTCCGACAGGGAAGGTATGTTGCGTTATCCCATCAGTCAAGAAGTTCTGATTGGCTGGCTGCAGGAAGAGAACTTTCTCTCCCACTGTCCCTGCCCTGTGGAATATTCTTCCCCCCTCCCCCACCCACAGATGAGGCAGCCCCCCCCCCAGGCCTTCCAAAACGGAGCAAAAACTTGGCTCTGTGGCCTTGTGTAGGGAGCCCAGAGGAGCGCACACAACCCTGGGGCAGGTTAGCACTCTGAAAGCTCTCCCTTCCCCTTTCAATTAATTTTAAACCGTGTTTTAATCATTCTTGCCTCTTTTAAATGTTTTAACTTTTGTATGTTTTTATACTTTAATATTGCATGGCGTATTCCCAGAGTCCCGCTGTGAGGGAGATGGGCGGTTTAAAGATGTGATGAACAAAAAACAAAGAAATGTGCAAAGGGAAGAGGTTTCAAGCCCCTTCTTACTTTTACATCCCTCTTTCAGAATAAAGCTTTCTTTACAAAGACAACAAAAGCATTCGATCTCCAGATTACAAGCTACGGTGTATTTAGAGGAAAGACAGCAAAGGAATCACATGCTCGGCCCTCTATTTCACACGCTGGCGGGAATGAGGACCTACATCATGTGGTTGGACCTGATTTCACAACCATTTTTTTTACTGGAGTCATGAAGCCAATCTGGCTTCCCCAACTGATTTTGCTTGTGGGAACCAGGCTGACAAGGTCGTAAGTCACAATCACATGATTGCAAAATACTGCAACCATCATAAATGTGAGCCAGTTGCTAAGCTCCCAAATTGCAAACCTCTGACCTTGGGGGTGGTGCGACAGTCATAACTCTGAGGACAAGTCTTAAGTCACTTTTTTCGAGGCTTCAAACTGTCCTTAAACAGTCGCCAGTCGAAGACTACCTATAAAGGTCTAAACCAGTGATGGCGAACCTTTTAGAGACCGAGTGCCCAAACTGCAACCCAAAATCCACTTATGCATCGTCGGGTGCCGGGTGGGTGTGGCCCATTGGGTGGGCGTGGCTGCGGTGGTAACGGCAGACTGGGTGGGACTAAAACGTTCAATCAATCAATTCCAACTTTGCAAGATTTTTTTTTCCCCGCAAGAGTTGAAATTGACTGATTGATTGAACCTTTTTTTTTTTGCACACGGCGGCGGAGGCCTAAAGCGAAAAGGTTTTATAAAACCCACCTGAAGGTCTAGGACTGGGGCGATGGCGCACGTGCCCACAGAGAGGGCTCTGAGTGCCACCTCTGGCACCCATGCCATGGGTTCCCCACCACTGGTCTAAACTGAGGTTCATGGAGACATTTATAATCCCTTGAGAATAAAAAAACAGGCTGCCTCAGTCTTTGGTCATCCCTAGCCTCTTCTCTAAGGTCTCACCTGCTTTGGAATTTGGTTTCAGCTCCAGGCTCTCTTGATCCGTGGCATCCAAGATCTTATACTTACTCTTCCTTTTGGCTTTTCCTTTTTTCCTTCAGGAGACAAACAAACAAGTTGGAGCTCGGGGAAGGCAGAATAAGACGAACAGCTCGCCCGGGGAACCCTGGCAAAGGGGGCACGGGCGCTTACTCACTTCTTGCAGCAGCAGACCACCACCCAGGAGAAGATGCCAAGGGAGACCAGAATCACAAAGGATGCAATCACGACGTAGAGCACACTCCATTCTGGAAGAAGCACAGAAATGTTCTCGGATTGTCTGACTTTTGAGACGTAACAGAAATTTCACGAGTCCTTCGGGCACAGCAAGAAGATATGAATGCAGTCATGGGCTCTTAGTTAGCAGGGGGAAAAAATGGAACTTCTGGATTGCCAGGACTAGGATTTTGACTTCCTGCCCTTGCTTGGCCAGTCTTCTCAATCCCCTGCTATACTTCTGACTCCAGATCAAAACCAGCCTTACGTCTCCATCTTTCAGAAATCACACAGGAGAGCCTGTGTCTTCAGATAAGATTTTCTGTAGCTCATAACAGATAGTTTAAACTCTGGTTTAAATTCAGGAACCATTTTAGGCGTAGAGGGAGGTATGAATGTGCAAATTAAAAAGCAGCCCAACTCTCGTTACTTCACCCATTCTCCTTGGGATTTCAGGGAAGAATGGTAAACACAGGAATCTCATGAAATTTGGCAATCTTGTGAATTTTCTTTTTCTTTTTAAAAATTAAACGAGCCCCACTTGCTCCAAAAGATCAGACTGAAAAAGTTGGGGCATTCTGCTATTGTGTTTTTTCCTTAATGACCTTCTGTGTTTGGGAGACGCTTCGACTGTCCTTTTGGATAAATACTGTAAATGGATTGGCTGAATTAAGGGAATATTAGCAGAGCCTCACACACCAGAGAAATTGATCCATCTTAGGTAGTAGCTACTGTGACTACTCTCCCATCTCCTTTTGGAAGGGATATCCCAATTGACCTAACAGGGTGTGCTACTGACAGATTGTAGGTTAGGCAAAGTGTAATTATCCTGGTCTTCCCTGAACATTCCTGTGGAACAAGGATGAATGACCTCACTGACCCTTCCTCTCCTAGACAGCATTTAAGACACAAGAAACACAATCTTAGAAGTCAACAGCAGTGCTCTATGTCAGCCTGTTAACTCTCCTCTCCCTATAACAGAGTGTAAGATTTAACATGTAAGCAGAATCTAGACACACCTAAAATGTAAGCAGCATCCTGACACAGCCTCTAGCAAAACTCATCCTATGTCCAGCAGAGTCATGAAACTGGGATGTCCACCTACCGCAATTGCTTTCACCCTCACCAATCTGCACTTTGATGAAGTTCTCCATCCAAAAAGGATCACAAATACAACGCTTGGTGAAAGAGTCGCAGAGGCCGTGATCTGAACAGTTTAGCTGGCAGGCTGAGGAGGAGGAAAATCTAGTCAATAGGGAGGTAGACAGTACCAGGGACAGGCACTTGAGAGTACGAATACTGCCTTTATGTATATTTCTCATGGTTGTTGGTCCATATAGCATGGATGTGTAAATAAAACACAAGTACTGCCTGGCTGTTTATAGTCTGTAATGGTTTAGATGGGGGATAATAAACCAAATCCAGACTAAATGAAAGAACTCACTCTGAAGGAACAAGTTTCCAAAGAGATGATACAGATCCTAATTGTGAATATGGTTATACTCTTAACAGAAAACAAACAGATATGCAGTTTGAGGCAAATCTGCATTTTTTTTTCTGGTTTCGCAGATGGACGCAACTATTTTGACCAACTTTGGTTGATGTACAACTCCATCTCCTTCCCATATATGCATCATAGAGATTTGTTGGCTATTATAGGCTTCCATTTAATATGGGTATCTGATGTTCAGAAACCTCAACTGTTCCAGAACTCAGTAACTAGGTTGGTCTCGGCCATAACTAAAAGGTCACATTATATCTATGCTAAGAATTATGCTGGCTTCCAGTTTGTTCCCAGGTAAATGTTGTTAGTTGCTAAGTCGTGTCCAACCCATCGCGACCCCATGGACAACATTCCTCCAGGCCTTCCTGTCCTCTACCATCTTCTGGAGTCCATTGAAGCTCACGCCTCCTGCTTCAGTGACTCCATCCAGCCACCTCATTCTCTGTCATCCCCTTCTTCTATTGCCCTCCATCTTTCCCAGCATTAGGCTCTTCTCCAGTGAGTCCTTCCTTCTCATTAGGTGGCCAAAGTACTTGAGTTTTAACTTCAGGATCTGCCCTTCTAAAGAGCAGTTGGGGTTGATCTCCTCCAGGACTGACCAGTTTGATCGCCTTGCAGTCCAGGGGACTCACAGGAATCTTCTCCAGCACCAGAGTTCAAAGGCCTCAATTTTTTGGCCCTCAGCCTTTCTTTTGGTCCAACTTTCACAGCCATACATTGCAACTGGGAAAACCATGGCCTAGCCAGATGCATGCATAAGACCTGGAGTTTTATTTATTTTAATTATAGTTCAAATTTGGAGATGGAAGATCTCCCACATAGAGCAACTCTGATGATGAGCCCAGGACCTTGCAACTGTCATAAATACCTGCCAGTTGCCAAGTGCCCCAATTCTGAACACGTGGCCATGGGGATGCTAAGTGTGAAAACCAGTCATAAGTCACTTTTTTCAGTGCTGTTATAACTTCAAACAGTCACTAAATGAGTGGTTGTAAGTCAAGGACTACCTGTAATGCGTTTTACCAAAGGGCAAAAGGGAAGCTTTAGCAGGTGGATTTGTGAACTGAGCCTTGCCTTCTTCTTTCTTTGCAGTAAAACCAAAAATCAAAGCCTGCTGCCACAATTAATCTCCTTCAATGCAGCCAATGGCACCATCTTCAAGCTCTAACCTCGCCCTACCCAGTGCTTGGAGGAAGAATCTTGATGGCCTTCTGGAAGGTAAGAGAGTTGGAGCCTGTTGGATCCCTAGAGCAGGGCTTTTCAACTTTTTCACCCATTGTACCATTTTTAGGATATGGCAACATCCGAGTACCATCAGTCGCCTAGCAAGGTGTCAAAAACTTGATGACCAAAAAAAAAAAAAAGGAAAAAAGTGATACAGGTAGTCCTCGACTTACAACAGTTCGCTTAGTGACTGTTCGAAGTTACAGTGGCACTGAAAAAGGTGCCCGCTGAGCAAGACACTTGCCTGCCCGCCCGGCCGCGCTCTTCCTCCTGTCTGAGGTTTTCATTGTTGTGAGCATTTCTGTTGAGGATTGGCAGCGGGGGTGGGGTGGGGGGGTGTTTGGTTTTTATTCCCCAAGTCTGCTGGGTGGTTGCAGCAGGTTTTGGTCACTTCACATGACCCTGGGACACTGTGACCATCATAAATATGAATCAGTTGCCAAGCATCTGAATGTAAATCACAAGACCCTGGAGAGTCTGCAACATTCCAGCTGATCGGTGCTTCTTCTGGGCTTAGCAGAAGCACCAGGATCAGTGCTGCTTTCCAGCTGATTGGTGCTTCTGCTGAGCCCTGCAGCTCCAGCCATCTCTCGCTCAGGCTTGTGCGGTGCTGCCACCATTTCAGCTCATTCCCCCCCCGCTACTTTTCTAGGATGGTTGCGTACCACCTGCCAGGTGCCAATGTACCACAGGTGGTACCCGTACCACTGGTTGAAAAGCCTTGCCCTGGAGGAATGGTGTGCACAGGGCAGAAGCTGCCATGGAAAAGACGCGCTTTTAAGGTCCCGCTAGGCAGCAACATGATTTCTAGGTGTAACGGAATAAAGTGAGTCTCCTATATATAGTATCCTCTGACTTACTGACGGTATTGATCTCCAGCGCACGGAAGATAAGGAATTCTGATTGTTGCTTCCGCAATTCACTCTTGAGAGTCCACGCAACATCGCGCCCTTTGAAGATCTGGCGAGGAGGCTGATTCCGCACGTAGAACACCAACTTTGTGCTGTCAAAGGGAAGAAAATTGGGAACGGAAAAAGAGAAAAGAGAAAATGCTGGACCAGAATTGCAATTCATGAGAGGCAGGAAGGTGCCATGGAAGTTATTTCCTTAATACACAATCTTCAAGAATTTGCCCAATGTTTCTCGCCCAGTGACCATGTTGGTCCCCGTGTTTAAGATAATCCTCTTTCCTCTGAAGCCTATTGAAGAGCAAACACATTGCATAGATCAGTGATGGCGAATCTTTTAGAGACCAAGTGCCCCAAAACTGCCCCCTACTCTCTCCCCGCTCCGCCCTGCCCGCTGGACGACCCACCATCTCCACGGCCTGCCACAGATCACCCAGGCAGCCCAGCAGCGCCATGGTGGCCACGCCCTCCACCCATGCCCCGTAGCATCATCTGTGTGCAATGGGGTGCAAGGGCGGAGTCTTGTCCCCACTGCCCGGCTACCATGTCCTTGGTTGCGCTGCTTCATATGGGCTGCGCCCGGGGGCAACTCTCTTCCAGGGGGGCTGCTGGTGAGGAAGGGGCTGTGGGAGGAGGCGGGGCTGGAGCAACGGTGTGTGTGCCCACAGAGAGGGCTCCGAGTGCCGCCTCTGGCACCCGTGCCATAGGTTCGCCACCACTGGCATAGATGATCAAACTCCAATCTTTTAAAACATACCTTATGCATGTGTAAAAACCCGTCTGCCATTTTTGCAAGTGAGAACTAACAAGAAAAGATTCAAACTGCAGACAGGTGAAACCTTTCCACGTATACTGAGGGCTGGAGCCTTATTTATCAAGGATGGATAAGCGAGGCTACCGATAATGAGAGCTAACAGTACCTGTATATATGAAAGGGAGGTGAGGCTTTGTGTTAACTAACTGCCCTTTCCTTAGCCACCATTTTGCTCAACAAAATCATGCAGTTGATGCTGGACTGAAGCCCCTTTCCCATGCCTCAGACAGACCATCCACACTGTTTTTGCTTCTTCTTTTTTAAACCAGATACCAAACAGTTTTTTAGGTTTAAATATTTGATGCTCCTATTTTTTCAAGTCTATTAAAAATCTACTTGAAGAAAGCAAAGCACTTCAGGAGTGGATTCATCAAAACTGCATCGGGGAAAGGGTGTGTTACCAGGTTTATTACATAAAACAAAACAGGCTATGTTTAAGCAACACACTTACAAAGTAGGCTGGCTAGAAACCAAGTAACATCTTAAAAGTACAAACTTCTAAAATATATATTAGCTGGTAGCATCTATGTGTCCAATAGGCCCGTAGTCCTCTAAGTTTGTCTGTATTCTCACAATGTGAATGGCTGAGGGCAGGGGTGTTTAGTACAGATATAACTGTGCACATACAACTGTGCCCACACAATACAGTGCACCTGGGCCACCTCTGCTCCAAGAAACCCATAGCGCACAATATTGCAGCCTTAAAAATAGGTCAGTTGGAGCATGTCAAAAGAAAGTGTTGCTTTGTATCACTTTATTTTGATGAGGAGGAGCTGGGGCTAGTGCCAGTTGGGATATTCAAACATTAGTTATCTCAGAACAGGTCCATTAATGGGACCTCCTTACCTAACTGATGTCTACATTCACCCCCAACCTCTTCTCATAAGAACTCAAAGCACCCAAGGTATGGGGACATCCTCGCATTTAATTTCCAAGACAACCACCATGGAACAGAAGCTGGGTTGAAAGTGTGGTTCTTCTTTTCTTACCTCTTCTCAGTGTAAGCCTGGATCTTCTGAACTGTGATGTCTGAATCTAGGACCCCAAGCAGAACCCCGATCTGACGGATGAACATGCCCTTCTGCCGCTCCGTCAGGTGGCTGACGTTGACATCTAGGATCATTTCCACAAGGTTGTTCTTCCTAGGATCTGGAAGAGTGCTGAAGTCAGTGCTAGAATGCGTCACGTGCACTGGTGAGGTTGGAATGTAAATTTGCTCTATCGCCGGGGTGAGGCCAAGGAAAAACAAAACGGGTCTGCTGTGGCCATCTATGCGTTAACTCAGTTTAACACAAAGCTAGCCAAACGGGCAGGGCGTCCAAGATTCATTCTTTGGAAAATGTTCAGGGAAGAACATGAAGAAGGATGGCTCCTGAGAGACAGCTGCTCCATTCCAGGTGAAGCCAACTTGGAGAAGCTTTGTGTTGTTTAGAACAGAGGAGACAAAGTTTTGCTTTGGAGTGGGTGGTGGTGGTGGTGGTGGTGGTGGAGATACTTAAACATTTCAGGTGGGATAGGGTAAGTGGCTCTGTCACTTAACGGGTGTGTGTGTAGTAGTTTCCACTTGTTTCTGGATTTGGAAGCTGGGGGACTTTTTTTGGGGCTCCTCTGTTGGAGTAACTACATGCGAGTTGGGCAGCCATAGAAATCCATTTAATTAATAAATATTTTTGTGTGTTTCTCCCCCTAAAAGTTAGGAGCCATGCAACCTTTCAGCAGTCAAGTCAGAGAAATTCAGAATCTCAGTTGGAGAAAGCTATGTGGGTTGCATAAAATGATGGAGGAAAAGGGGTGCATGTTGTTTGGACGCTGTGTGCCTAGAAATATGATCTGAGTAATATAAACTTACAAAGTACTAACCTTACTATGTCATATATACCAGGTAATCCTCATTTTAATGACCACAATTGGGACTAACAACTATATTCCTAAGTGAAGCTGTCACGAAGCTACAACTGTGCTTGTGATCTTACTTTGCTTTAAAGACATGCAAAGGTGATACATTGTGAGAATTGGTCGTGAAATTACTTTTTTATCACTGTCATAACTACAAATGGTTGCTAAATGAGGCAGTCGGTAAACGAGGACTACTAGAAGTGGAACCCAATGCAGGGTCTTAGATTTTAAAATGGATGAAGCACAGCAGCTAAAACCATAGAAACCGTGCAGCCTAAAGTTGAGATTTCATCACATCCATGAAGGCCCATTTCAAGGTCCAATTGGAACAGATGAGTTTATGTCTTGTAATGATTATTAACATTGTGGATTACATGCTTGGAATATGATGCTCAGGTATACTTCTTACTACCAACTTTGCTCCTTCATTAGTTATTTATATTATTGCTACTTGTTATTAGCACATAATAATAAGATCATAGGTACAGTGTCTACTTCACTTTCCTCTTTCCACATAAGCTTCATGTGGAAACCAATCATTTTGGGAAAGAAGATATGATGATGGAAATGGACACACTCACCAGGTTTCACTTCCACAGTGGCTCGGTCTCCATCACTCTCCCCTTTGGCATCAGTCACTTTTAGAAGGAAGGTGTACGTTCCCTCCACCAGGTTGGAGAGAAACAGAATGGGATGATGATCCGAATTATTTAGCACCTCCTGTATTTCAAGCAAACGTCCAAAAGGAAACAAAGCAGAAATTCAAGATCCAGAAAACAGTTCCAGAATCCAGTTTCTTAAAAGCATTGCACACAAAGACACGCACACGCTATAGCAAAATGGATTCTCTCCTTCATGTGGAGAAGTTGGAAGCAACCCGGGTATCCTTATGTGCTTTTGATCAACAACATAAATTGTAAAGCACCAGAAATGCAGAAGAGGCCTCTTTCTACTTGCTTTAAAAAAAAAAAACTGGAATTTTGAAGGAAGCACAAGAAGTCCTACTGACTAAATACGATTGCAGGCAAGATGAGCAACTATCAAGGGCCAATTAACGGTGAAACAGGTTTAAAAATTAAGGACAGAGCAAGGGTATTTCACTGATACAGCAACCATTACACAGAGCTAATGCTGTGTCGCTTCAGGATGTGCTGTTTCCTTTCTGTTTATCTTCTATTAGAGAGCTCCAAAGGGCCCCTGGGGTTAATTAGTTTTATACAGATTTTACAGACTTCTCCTGTACAATATTTATGGGAGTTGTTGCCAACCCATTTAGAGGGCAACTGACTGAGGAAAATTGCTCTAAAGGAAAACAAAATTCAATATACTGGATCGTCCCTAGCTTATGAGCTGCTGTATCGTTCATGCAGTTGGCAAAATATTGCTAAACGTTCTTGAGTCTCACATATAGCAGAAGCACTGTAGAAAATGGAGTAGCAGATCTTCTCAATACCCACCCCTGCTGCAGGGCTGCTCTCATCCCGAGTCCACAGGAAGGTGACAATTCCTTTGTCATCCATAGACTGGGACCCATCAAGCTCTGCCGTGCTTGTAGGGAGAGTGATGGTAAGGCTGTTCCCCACAATTTTTGCCACAGGAGGCTGATTTATCTCTGGACAAAAAAAGGGAAGAAGAAAGGATCAGAAGACATATGAGTCCAAAGGGTAACAGCAGGTGAAGATACTCCAGGAGAGGGATATTGGGAATATTCATTCCAGCATGGAGTCCATCATCAGCCATAAAACCCAACTGAATGATCAACCATATGGTTTACAGAGCTAGCCAAAATATGGTCAGTAATTTCCCTCAAACTTATCAATTAATTACTAAGGAAGATGGGATAATCCAGAAATATACTTTTAAAAAATTCCCACTGGTTCTCATAGGAACAAATTAATTGCAGAATACAATAACGGCCAGGGTGTTGGTTTAGTTTAGTGTTTCTCCCTCAGCAACTTTAAGACGTGTGAACTTAATTCTCAGAATTCCCCAGCCAGCATGGGTGGACTTCAATTCCCAGAATTCCCCAGCCAACATGGTCCATCTGATTTGATGGCCATTAAAATGTTATGACTTTCTACCTGCTACTCACCTTCTTTCACAATGACATTAACTGAACTTTGCCCTTGCAAATTCCGTTCATCTTTGACTGTTAGTGTGAATGTGTACGTTCCCACTTTAAGCCCAGAGACTGTGGCTATGCTGCTGTTGGCATTTTCCAGTTTCACCCCATCTGGACCCCTGGCACAGAAGAAAATAAGCTGAACTTGTCATAAATGTTTGCACAGAAAAGAGAGAGAGAGACAGTTATTCCTTTTGACCCCTGAGGAAGACCTAGGTGACGCAAGGAGAATTATTTGGTGTGCTCAGAAAGAAATAAACATATTTATTAAATTTAACTATTGTTGGAAAATGATAAAAAATAAGGGATTAATTGGCCTAATATTGAGGATTTAGATTTATAAGGGAAATGAAAATTAGCTATTAGGAAATAGCTTTGAATTATTGTTTAGCCCAGATAACACAGACGATGGATTTGAGACAATAAAGGATACTCCGTTAGTAAGTGATGATGTACTAGGATGAGAAATAGAAAATGTCTATGAAATAAAATATATTTTAGTAAGTAATAGGTGTATTTTAGATATTATAATTTTTATGTAGTGAAATAAAGGAAAGTTGGGTTACCTGAAATTTAAATATTATGGATATTAAAGGTTAAATTGGAATACTGTAATTAAAAATTAGGTAAAATTTAAATACAGGACATGGATATGTATAAGCATAAATATATTGATAAATGTTTTAACTGAGTTTGTTATAATTACAAATTTACTAGCTTAAATATGATATAGCAAATGTTAAGGGGAAATAGAGAAGGAATTTTTTGATGATGTGACCTGAGATATGTACTAAAGAGTTTGTTATTATACTATTGACTACCCAATCACCACGCTGCTTTCTAAATACTTAAATGTAAAACCAATAAAAACTTGTTATATAAAAAGGAAGAAATAAACATATTGAGTAGTGTTTCCTCTCTCTCTCTCTCTCTCTCTCTCTCTCTCTCTCTAGTAACATTGGTCATGATTCTTTTTTTCTTGTTCCATATAAGTGAATGGAATAAAGTCAAAATAATTTTATTCCAGTCAGCTGTTTATGGAAAAAATAGGGTGCAGTTAGTAAACATGGGTGACACGGACTTCTCCCACCAAAAAAGAGTCCAAATAACAAATTGTGTAGGTTTGTGAGGAAGGAGGGATAGGAGGCCCTTAAGAGAATTTTCCTGATTTTTCAGAATCTTTGGCATTTTGCAACTTTAGGAAGCTACTTCTAGGCTAGGTCAAAAGTTAGCATAGTTCTACAAATATAAAGGAACAACGAATGGCTTGAGACGAGCTTTTATTCCCACCTGAGACCAGGTTCTTGTCAGGACTGGCAGGAAAACCTCCCAAGAGATTCCAGAAAACTGTCTGGCCCCATCAACCTCTTATAACAAAAGGATCTGTTTCTCAGTCTAGGTTTCAGGGAACCTGAAGTCAACACTAATCATGTAATGAAAATCCCATGACAATTGTGCTTTATTATGAGATTCTCCCTCCTGCCCCCCAAGATGATTACCCCTAATCCTAGCCAGAAAAAAATTCTACCACATATGGAAGTCTCGATTGCTCCAGAAAAGGTGGCCTTGGTGTGAATAGAATGGAGGCCTTTGAACTAGGGTGCTGGAGAAGACTCCTGCGAGTCCCCTGGACTGCAAGGCGATCAAACCGGTCAGTCCTAGAGGAGATCAACCCCGACTGCTCCTTAGAAGGCCAGATCCTGAAGTTGAAGCTCAAGTACTTTGGCCACCTAATGAGAAGGAAGGACTCACTGGAGAAGAGCCTGATGCTGGGAAAGATTGAGGGCAAGAGAAGAAGGAGGCGACAGAGAATGAGGTGGCTGGATGGAGTCACTGAAGCAGTAGGCGTGAGCTTAAATGGACTCCAGAAGATAGTAGAGGACAGGAAGGCCTGGAGGAACGTTGTCCGTGGGGTCGCGATGGGTCGGACACGACTTCGCAACTAACAACAACAAGTCTATGTACTCAACACCACACTCAAGATAATCTACTATATTTAAGGCAAGTGAGCCTGGGAGGTGGCAGGTAATTTATGGATTCTCAGGCCTATCTCAAGATCCCAACTCAAAAAGGCCTTACTTAAGTAAGCAGAGCAGACCAAATGTGTAATTTCTTTTCCATGCAAAAGAACAACCACCACGTGTGGGAGAAAAGAGAGACATACTGTGTTTTCTCCCAAAGGAAGGAGACAATCTTCTGGTCATCTGAGCTCTTGCTGCCATCCAGAGTGGTGCTGTCCACTGGCAGGATGAGTTCTTTGTCTGGACCAGCATCTGCCCTGGGCGGCTTGTTGTTTTCTGAGTAAAAGGACAGGAATTGAAAAGGCGCTCCAGAATGTGGCAGATTGCTTGCAATGAGAGGTATAAAGAGGAATAAACGCAAATAAAATTGATTTATAGAAACTTGGACCGTTATCTGACCCATTGGAATCCATACTGGCAATCCTCCTTCTCCCCCACCCTGGATTTTCAAATATGACTGTTCTCTATCCCTGCTAGTTGAGATGCTTTAAGTAGGAAGGCTTGGAATCAGACAGGACCCTTTTTACATACAATGTCCTGAATTATGGATTTTTTTACAGCCTGTAAAATATAACATTAAGTTACACATTAAAAATTTACTTGGATACTGCCATATCCTGTTTCACTGACGTTTTATGGGATTTATACGTTTATTTAACATAAGCAGCCTCTACTGAGCAAACAAGTCATATTCTGTAAATCCAACTGAGAGGTTGTAGGTGGCCAAGACAACAGTGAGAACTTAAACCCGGATCGCCTTTTTTTTGGCATTAGCAAATAATAATATTCACTCTACAAAACAGGTATTTATTTTGTTGGTAGGAGCTGCACTTCTCTCTCTCTCTCTCTCTCTCTCTCTCTCTCTCTCTCTCTCTCTCTCTCTCTCTCTCTCTCTCACACACACACACACACACACACACGAGTTCCTGAGGGCCAAAGGGCAAAGGGTGTGACATAATTCTGAGTTCTCTAGAGGGTACATGGTCAATATTTTTAGCATGTCTGTTGTGTTTTTTTATTATTATTTTTAGTTTTTGAGGATGTGAACTGTTTTAAAAATCAAAATCAGCATGTTTTGCCTGTTCAGATTCAGATACTTATTCACGTTCTTTTTTTGTCAAAATATAAAATAAAAAAAAAATCAAAATAGCCATGAAAAATAGATAATATCCTGCTGAGGTTTGGGATAATGATCTTAGGGGGTTCTAGAATCAGAAAAATGAGGATGGGGATGCATGTGCCCAGCCTTCTAGTTCTCTATATTTATGAGATAAGATCTTGACCTAGAGAGTGGCATATCCAACAAATGATACACATTGTCTCATAATATAGAGTTTTCCATTCCATATAAGCCCTACAATTCAACCTAACACGTAACACATAAAGAGCCCATAAAGGAGGTTTTGCAGAGTTTTAACAGGCTCCCATTAAAGACTTCAATATACAGAATGGAAATTACTGTACAGGGTTAGCTCTTTGCTCTCCAGCAATTTTTAGTTTTTTTTTTTCATGCTATGCAACATACCAGTTCTAAAACTCAAGGGAGTTTCAAATGCTACTTTTTGTTCTTTAAGTGGTTTGGGGGGGGAATTGGTGGGGAGACAGCCTGTGCACATTTATTTGGGGAAAATGACTTTTAAAAGAAGTCAAGGGCTTTTAAGCGTCATTGGTTGCACCAGCAGTAATTTAAAAGCATGCACCCCAGTAGGATGATACTCAAGAAGCCTCCCACGACTACCATGCCCGTTCTACATCTGGCCCATAACTATCTTCATAGCTAGGTTTCTGGAATGTAATAGGGATTTGCATTTTGCATTCCCTTATGCCAAACAATTTGTTTTGAAAGCATACCAGGTTGTACGATCACGGTGACTTCAGCGGTGGACTGATGGCCAGCAGAATCTGTCACTGTCAGTTGATAGGTATAGTCACCTTCACGCATGGCTGAGAGCTGCAGAGTTGAAGTCCTTACCCCCTATGAATTGGAGGAGGAGGAGGAGGAGGAGGAGGAGGAGGAGGAGGAAGAGGAGGAGGAGGAGGAGGAGGAAGAGATAAAGAAGGCTGATTAAACTTTTTATCTTGGATGGCCAGAATGAATCCAAGGGTTTCGCCTCAGATAAGCCCACTTTTATCTCTTTTTTTCAAAACTATAGAATTCACTTAAATGAATGCTAACCTTGGAGACTAAGATATCATGCAGATTTGGTGAAGTAAAGCTAGCCTTAGGCACTTATATGCTTAGCAATTCTGATCTGAGGGAGGAACAGGAACCAAAGCCAGAAATGCAATGACATTGGTGGGAGAGAATGTAACCACCTAACCACCTTTTCTATAGATTGAACCATGGTGTCCACTATTGGAGAGTGCATTTATTTTTATTAAATTTATCAAAAACTGGCGGGAGATCGATATTCACTAGGTCAGGGGTAGGCAACCTTGGCTCTTTTATGACTCGTGGACTTCAATTCCCAGAATTCCTGAGCCAGCCACGCTGAGGGGAAAGGGAGAGGCTTCCAAGCTGAGCCATGCTGGCTCAGGAATTCTGGGAGTTGAAGTCCACCCATCTCTGAGTGGCCAAGGTTAAGAAATACAGGTCTAGGCCAGGGGTAGGCAACCTTGGCTCTTTTATGACTCGTGGACTTCAACTACCAGAATTCCTGAGCCAGCCACGCTGAGGGGAAAGGGAGAGGTTTCCAAGCTGAACCATGCTGGCTCAGGAATTCTGGGAGTTGAAGTCCACGAGTCATAAAAGAGCCAAGGTTGCCTACCCCTGCACTAGGTCATAAAATTCCCTGAAAATACGCAGGTGACTGCAGCCAATTTAAAGCCTGCCCAGTGTGTCTTGAACACAAATGTTAACATTAAGAATCGTATTATTTCTACCACGTTGTGTCCCAAGCTTTTGTAAAAAATGGAAAAAANAGAAGAGACTGGACAGCCATTTGTCTGAAATGGTATAGGGTTTCCTGCCTGAGCAGGGGGTTGGACTAGATGACCTCCAAGGTCCCTTCCAACTTTTTTATTATTATTATTATTATTATTATTATTATTATTATTATTATTATTATTATTATTATTATTATTATTATTATTATTATTATTATTATTATTATTATTATTAAAGTTCCACAAGGCACCAAACCTCAATTAGTGAAGTCTGGCTGGCCTCCGGGGCTCAGGGGAGTTCTTAGTAGTGGCTGCTGTTGAACAGGTCTCTTCCCTAATGGATATGCAGTTGGCTAGTTCAAAAACCTACCTGTATCAATGATCTTTTAATCAAAGCTTTTATTGCCACTTTCTTGCTGTGATTTAGGAGACTGCCTTATACTGGCGGAACTATATTGAACGTACTGCTATTTTTTAATGCTATTATATTAATATCAAGCTTCATAATTTTTATTTTATATCATCTGTAGCCTTGGATATTCTATTAATAAATCTGCTAAAATATTAATGCCGTGAATCATTTAAAATAAATATCAGAATTCAGTGCCAGAGGGCACAAGGCTTGTATGGTGTGGCAATTTTATATCATTAAGCATTTGCCGCTATAAATAAGGTGAAATTAAAGGAACAATTCGAATTCAGTGGGCGGAAGTGACCAAAAAGGTTTTTTTTGTTAATAATTTGGTTTTATATCTGCTGCAGCCTACTGTGGGCACTGCATATATGAGTCTCATGAATAATAAGGCTTCTTTCCAATTACCAGTTTCAAGCTAGTGTTCACTGCCAAAGTAAATACATTTTTAAAGTGTTCCTCAAAAGTGCCAAAGAAATCCTTTCAGAAACAGCTGAAAAGCCTTGCTAAGCATGAAAAAAGAAGCATAAAGAAACCACTTGGCAATTAAGGCAAGCACATGATGTAAGATTCACTGCTGGTTTCAAAAGCACAGATGAAATCTAAACCGTCACATTATATAGGCTATTTGCTAGTTGATAATCTGCCTGTTCACTTTTGGAGGGGTCTGTAACAGAGCCACGCAAACAGTTAATTATTTAAAATCATTGGCAAAGCAACCCAGGAAACAGCTTTTTGGATGAGAACATCTGAAGCATATCATCCTACCACTGATCAAAAGAGGAAGAAAAAAAAAGCTTTTTAAGCTTAAAATATTTCTTCTACAAATGGAATGGCAGCTATACCAATGAGTAACAGATATTCTTTAGCTATTAAATTGAAGCCAGCTAGACTAAATTCAAAGAAAATTGAATAATACTTATTTATTTGTCTGTCTGTTTGTTTATTTATTTATTCTATTTACAACACTATAATCCCTTTTATCGGGGTAAACTGAACGGAGCTGAGTGTTTATTGGCCAGATGCCCTTCCTGATGCCTTATTTAAATTTATTATAGCTGCCCAAATCCAATGGACACTGAGTGGAGTGCAACCCCCCCAACCATAAAAACAGATAAACCTAGAACTACAGATAGCGCAAATGACAGAGAATTGCTGAAGAATATCTCTAGAAAATTTGACGCTTTTACAAAAGAAGCTAATTTAAATGTATCCTCATTATTTTATTATTCATTTGCTGTGTCTTGATAGCCCTCAAGAATATCCATCTTAAACTTCAGTTAAACAAACAGGTATGCAAGGACTACTTTTTTAAATAGATGTAGGCCAAGTAGAAGAGAGGGAGTAAGGGAGAGATTTAGAAAGAAATTGTGAGGGATGATGAGCCATTGGATATTCTTTCACTAATGTTCATAACTTGCTAAAAACAACATAATGTGGGACCCCACTGTTTTATGAATGCAGCAACAGCCACCTGGATCCAGAATGATGCTAGTAGCAGCTTTGCCAGATTATGTTGTGAACTGAGGTGTATATGCTTATATAAGCAGACCACCTACACAGGCTAACAAAAATAAAATAACATTGTGGGTAAAACAGCGTTGCTGTTCTTGGAACTAATTTAGTTGCTAAGCTTATTATATAATCTAAAGTAACGCTGTATTTTGGACTCACAATCAGAAACAGGATCTCTTGGCTTACCGGAACGTGTAATTTCCTGGTACCAGGTTGGTCAGTTCCAGAATATCTGTATCAGCAGAGACCTTCTCTTCTCGAAGTGGCCCCTTTAGNCTGGGAGTTGAAGTCCACGAGTCATAAAAGAGCCAAGGTTGCCTACCCCTGCACTAGGTCATAAAATTCCCTGAAAATACGCAGGTGACTGCAGCCAATTTAAAGCCTGCCCAGTGTGTCTTGAACACAAATGTTAACATTAAGAATCGTATTATTTCTACCACGTTGTGTCCCAAGCTTTTGTAAAAAATGGAAAAAACCAATAAAACCTTTTTACAAAAAAAAAAAAGAAAAAAAAGAATCATATTATTTCCTAACGATATGGAATCATTTGTTATACAGGCAAATATTGGACCCTAACTGCCAGACGTTTACAAGGATTTGGTGCAATTTTTTTTCCCAAGCTGAACTTGTAAAGCGTATTAAGAAAATGTTTACGGATGCATTTTAAATGGGAGTCCTGGCAATCTTACCTGCATTTCTGCTACCTTCACTTTGCTGTTGGGGCTGAGGGACCATTCGTAGCTGACAATGCCATGGTCATCTGTGCTTTGGTTTCCGTAAAGGGTGATGGAATTTTGAGGCAGGGTGATCACTTGGTTAGGACCCGCGTTTGCCACAGGGGGGTAGTCCACGGCTTTGTTTACTGTCAGGCTAGCGGTGGTGGAGTTGCTAGCACCATCAGAATCCACCACAGTGAGGCTAAAGTGGGAGAGAGAATGAGGAAAGGGAACAATTTTGCAGGCAGCGATCAGAGCTAAATCTGGCAATCAGACGCACGCTGCCTCTGACATTTTTCATTCGCGTTTATTAGTTCCTAATGGAATTGACTGAAATGTTGCGGTGGTGCTTATTTGAACATCTATGGCAACATCCCTGGCTACAATGGTTATTTATTTCCCATGCTGCATATGACTGAAATTTAAGCAAATGCTAGTACTTCTGGGAGCAGCTCTAACTGCTGGCCAACTGCATGCATGACACACAGCTTTACAGAGTGACTCTGAAGCCCTGCATTTCTATTCACAGATAGGGAAAGTAAAGAGCTACTTAACAAGCAATGTGGAAATTTCCACTCTCTGACTGAAGATATATCATTTGTGATTCTCCACAATGCACCAAAAAGGCCAACACAGTGCTGGGCTGCATTAACAGAGGGATAGAATGAAGATCACGTGAAGTATTAATACCACTTTACAAGGCCTTGGTAAGGCCACACTTGGAATGCGGCATCCAGTTTTGGTCACCGCGATGTAAAAAAGATGCTGAGACTCTAGAAAGAGTACAGAGAAGAGCAACAAAGATGATTAGGGGACTGGAGGCCAAAACATATAAGGACCATTTGCTGGAATTGGGTATGTCTAGTTTAATGAAGAGAAAGACGAGGGGGAACATGATAGCAGTGTTCCAGTATCTCAGGGGCTGCCCCAAAGAAGAGGGAGTCAAGCTATTCTCCAAAGCGCCTGGAGGCAGGACAAGAAGCAACGGATGGAAACTGACCAAGGAGAGAAGCAACCTAGAACTAAGGAGAAACTTCCTGACAGTGAGAACAATTAACCAGTGGAACATCCTGCCTCCAGAAGCGGTGAAGGCTCCAACACTGGAAGTTTTTAAGAAGAGACTGGACAGCCATTTGTCTGAAATGGTATAGGGTTTCCTGCCTGAGCAGGGGGTTGGACTAGATGACCTCCAAGGTCCCTTCCAACTTTTTTATTATTATTATTATTATTATTATTATTATTATTATTATTATTATTATTATTATTATTATTATTATTATTATTATTATT